GTGTGGCGGGCTGGCCATTTGGTGGCTGTTGTCTAGTCCAGCCCAGAGTAAACTCATCCAGTGCCGTGGCCAGCACCTATGACTCAGTCTTACCAGGTCTTATCAGTATCAATCTGCTGACAAAACTGCTGCTGAAGAAGATAATCCAGCAGAAGAAGAAGGTACAGCGTCACCAGCACCAAGCTTTGTCACATATGAGCACAAACCCCACTTAATTTCAAAAAGGTGGTGCCTACTACTGCCCTGTTTCTGAAGACCTGAAACAAAGCAGTGCTTGATATTAATCTTCTTGACAAGACATCTACAGCTATGTGTCTTGTCACTTTCATGTCACCAGAGATGAGTAAATAAATCACTGTGGGTGGAACCGGGGCTGACCTGTATCCAAAAGCTTGTGCTGGTAAAGTAAGCACAAAGGATGTGGAAATAGCAGAGATCACACTGGGGGCTTTCTGTCTGCTGCCTCCTCTAGTCGTGTTTGTGTTGCAGCAAACCTCAAGGTGTCTAACCTGCAGGTGTATTTGAGTTTGCAAGCTAAGTTTTATCAGGCAGATGCCAGACTTGGCTTCCCACACTGTGCCAGCATATGTAGTGCATCTGAAAGGGAATTTACTTTGACAACTAAGTGTTCCTTCTTGTTGTTGGGTTTTTCTTCTTAATAGGGCAGATATCAATAAATAGCATTCCTAGGTCATTTAGCCTGAATCACTTCTCCTGGGCTGGCTGTGTGTAATGGTTAAATATCCATTTACATATAGTTATCCCTAAATAAATCTTATTGTGGAGACAATATCCAGTACCTGCACTAGATACATCAGAGAATATTTTGTATGAAAAGATTTTATCAGACCACCGACATAGCTTTAATATCCAGATGCTCATCGGGTGCCCTCCCTCCCTCCTCACCCCGTAGCACTCTCTTAGTGAAGGGGTATGAAACATGCACAACTGGCTGGAGGAGAACTGGTTTGGAAAGTTTTTGCTGTCTTGAATAGCTCCAAGAAGGGTGAGGGGAAAGAAAACCCCTTTCCTTACTCTTTCTCTGCCAGCATGACTGTCTTCAGCTGGGGGTGGTGGTGATTTGGGGTTTTGGGCTGAGATCTGGCTGATGGATGGCTGCTGTATTTCACTTTTGCTATTGGAATAGGGGGGGGAAAGAAAGCAGTTCAGAGTGATCTAATGAAAATAGCTGTAAAACAATGCTTTGCCTTCAGAGAGTAAATTGATGTACATAGTAGAGGTGTCTGAGATAGTCTTACTGCCTTCTCTGTCTCAAATTACTAGTTTTTGGCCTTAGTTTCTGCACAGAAAGAATGCAGGCTATGTTGGAAGCAGGATGTCCCCAGAGTTGGTTCCGCTGGGTTGGACCAGATAGCTCTGATGAAAGAGTGGTTTTTTTTGAAAATGTTCTGACCTAGATCTCACCGCTCTTTTTATTCCTACATTAGAGGGAGCTCAGGATCTGGCCCCACCTCTGTCTGAATGCATGAAAGTAGAAACCCAGGTTATGCAGAGGTGGAAAGTGAGCTGTGATGACAGCTGACTGGAAAACAAAGCCCGAGCTGGGATGGTTTAGCCCGCAGAGCTGGGATGGTTTAGCCCATGCGGGCAGGTATCCTGCCTCCAGGCAGGAACACCTTTGCTTGTTGTTGTTTGCATTGGGCTCCCCTGAACTCCTGCTTGGTTTCTGAAGAGGACAGGGTCTGGCCATAATGAGGACCTTTTCGCAAACCTGTGTCACTGTGAAAGGAGAATTGCTGGCTGTTTTTCTGGGAGGTTTTCTTACCTTTGTTGCCCTGGCCTGTGGCTGGTGAGTCTGGGCGCCGGTGCTGCTCTGCTGTGATGAGGTCACTTGCTTCATACCTGAGCCTCTCCAGCCTGCAATTCTGATTGATCCTAAGAATCTGCACCACGCCGTCCCATCAAATGTCAAAGTAATGATTCAAAGAGGACTCTTCCAGTTTACCTCAGATTCTGGTGTTTCTCCTCCAACTGCTACATTTTAGCTGTTTCTAATTCTTTTCAGCTGTGAATATTTATCTTCAAGAGCTTTCTCTTTGTCATCTCTCACTTCAGCTTTTCCAAATCTATTTTTTTGGGTCATGCTCATTTTGTTCTATGTGCATTATTCTTATCATAAACAAAGAGGCAAGAAGCTGGATGCTGACAGCACTATTATTTCCCAGCAGTTACCTCCTGTGGTGGCAACCTCTTGTCTGCTCTCATACGTCCCCATGCATGGAAGTGGTTTTGTAAACTTGCATGTCGAACAGGAACAGTGACGGTAAAGTACATTCTCAGTGGTTGTGTGTCCTGTCTGCTCAGATGTCTGTGGGTGTCTTGGAGATACAGAGTTTGGAGGTATTCTCTCTATTACCATGCTGCGCTGTATCCCTCTTTGCAGCAGGACAAGTTAGCGGGCAGGGAGTTCTGTGCTGCTCCACCAGCGATGATGCTTCTCTGCTCTGCAGCTGTGTGCTTTGGAGGCATCCAGTGTCACTTTGACGTAGGGCATGCTTCTTACTATAAAGGATTTCAACACAAAAATTATTAAAGGGAATAAAAGACCTGCAATGACCCACTGTTCAGTGCATTGCTGTGTGTAACATCTTTCTTCTTTTCTCTTCAAGGATGGGGGAGAGCAGCAGCTGCCACGTACCTCGTTGGCTTTGTGATCCTGGTTATCTGTTTTGCCCTCGCAGTCATTGCGTTCTCAATCGAGATACTCCGCTTCAATTTTGTGCGAGGAATTGGAGGCTTGCTCTTTGTTGTTGGTAAGGCTGGGCATAAAGACAGGGTTATTTTAGATGTGAAACAGGCATCAGCAGAAAAATATGCTCAATGGAGACTCCCTTATGAAATAGGCCATCTTTGTCTGGCTTATGACTCACTTTCATGGGGAACAAAGGAAGGTTGATTTACGCTCTGAGAGGATAATGTTTAGGGAAGCTCCAGTGGCCTTTGTCAGTTAGCACTTTCCCAAAAGCAGTGCACAGGGCAGCCAGCACCTTTGACTCTGCATGTCACATGCTGAGACTCAGGAGCTGAGAGCCCTGGGTGCTTCCCACCTTCTCGAGGGGAGGAGGAGCGATGGGCCTGTGGTATGAGCAGGAGGTAACTGGCTCCGCAGGGATCCCGGTGCCTGTCTGTAGGGCAGGGCTGGTCACGGCATGCAGCTGAGTGCCTTCACAACCTGGCAGTGTCAGCCAGATAGGTGTGGGGGTCTGCCGTGGCCAGGAATGACGTGCCTCTGCAAGAAGGCAGATTTGATTGTAGGACTGAAGCTAAGCCTTGCATACCTTAAAAGGATATGACAGTTATCTTAAGGTACATTTTTTTAGTGGGAAATGTAATATAATTCATTGTAATTTACTCCTGCTTTTCTTCCTTTCTTTTTCTCTCTAGCTGCATTCCAGATCATAGGCTTGGTCATCTACCCGGTGAAATTCACTGAAGATATTCCGCTGACGGGAGATAATATGTTCAGCTGGGCCTATGGTTTTGGTTGGGCCAGCACTGTTGTTGTAATAGGTTGTGCTTTCTTCTTCTGCTGCCTCCCCAACTGGGAGGATGAAGTCCTGGGAAACATCAAGCCTAGCTGTTACTACTCCTCCCCAGAGAGAGCACCATACTTAAATTGAAAGGTTAAATCAAAGTACAATCAACTGTTAAAACAACAGAGGAGCACATCTGATGTAACTTTGGTGTGATTATAGGAGACTGAAAAAACCACCTTGTTTCTCCAGAGTATTTCTTACTAGCCCTGGCAATAAATTAGTAAAAACATTGGCATGTTTAAGCAAATAGCTTTTACCTAAAGTATTATTTACATATTCTCATGTCGATTCTGTTTGGGTGGTTTACTTGCTGCTTCCCCTCCCAACTAATTGATTCATCCTTGTTTTATTCAAACATTTGCTTATGAATAAAGATGTAGTGTTTCAAGTGTAGAAAGGAAGAGGAGAGATTTTAAACAACCCATTAGAGGGACGTGCAAGTTATTTCATTTTCACCTCTAACAAAATTGCCTTAAATTCAACTAGAAAAAATCCCAACCTTCCAAAGAATTCTTTTTCTTCCCAAGGAAGGAACTTCCGTGATACTGTTGCAGTCACCTGCTGCCCAAGAATCTTTTCTCATTCCTGTTACTGGACTATTGTTGACTATTAGCTATTTGAATTAAAGGGAAAATAAAATTAAAGTTTATTTCCCACCAATTGCTGCTGTTGGACAGAGATCTCCTCTAAAGCGTGGAGCTGGTGTTTATGAGAGTGGCTAATGTAACACTTATTGATGTTTTTTGTGGCCACTGCAGGACTTGTGGTGGAGCCACATATAATTTAATGTACATTGTCACAGAGAAAATCAATAAACCTTCAAATGTTAAACTATATACATTTTTACGTGGTATTTGAGGGGTGCTAATTTAGAAAATACCTTTGAGTAGAAACATACACTGTTCTTTGTCTAGCTTTTTAAAACTGCAGTGTTTTAATTATCAGCCATGCTTTGAAGGGAAATCTTAGCATAAGGTGTTGAAAACCTCCAAAAGTTTCTAAAGTACTGTCTAAACCACAACAAGCACACTATGGGTACTCCAGAGGTTTGTAAACTTGGGGATGCTTTGTGACTCACTAGGGATAACAGGTAAAAATAGAAAAGTAGTTCTGTGAGCAGTTTACATATGCAAATTTCTTAGAGACACTCGTCTCAGGGAGTATTCTGGCTGGCTCCTAGCTTATGCTTCTGGAGCCAGCAATTCCAAATAAGTATTCCAGCGAGGCAGAGCTGCGTCTGTGTTGGTCATGGGCCTGCAGCAGCTTACAGCAGATTTAATTATGGTCTATAATCTTTGTCAAGAGCTTTCTTCAAATGGGGAAGAGGAAGGAAGATAGTAATTTGTGGACCTCCTCTTCCAGCTCTGGGGGAAGTAGCTCTAGCAGAGACAGATTCCTGAGCAGGGTACAGGTAGGGTGGAAAGCAAATACTGCATGTTATTCTGTAACGACCAGCTGGGGACTTTCCTCCTACTATCGTGAACCCAGTACTTGGGAGAGGGTGTGTGGGTATATGTGTTCATGCACGTGTCCAAAATAGAACTTACAAAGCATTAACCAGCGTACTGTAAAGCTAAAGTAATTTAGAACTAAGCTTTTTCAATGCCAAATGTATCTTGTATTATATGTTGTATAGCTTTCTGTTTTGTAACACCTTTTTAAATTTGGTAATTCTGTGTATGGCCTGTGATCCTGTTTTGGAAAGGCCAGGTGACTTCTGAAGGTCCCCTTCCAGGCATGCATTTTGTAACTTCACAGAGTGTAAACATCTCCAGACTTCAGAACTGTGTTACAAGCTCAGTCATGGCATATACAATCAACTGTATTTATGATTCTTGCTGAAGAAAAGAATCCTGTGGCAAATATGTCTTTTTTTTTTTTTTTCTGTACAATACTGACTGGTGGGGAATACTGTGTAGACTTGTCTGTATCATGAGTAACGATAGTACCTACTTTCTAGTGAAGTAATAATACAGCAGAGATCCCAACTCTGGAAAATCCTTGCACAGCTAAAGCTGAGAAGGAGAAAAGATGTAAGAAAATTGACACCCTTCCTAATGAGAGGGAGGGTTGTATGGTAATAGGGTTTAGCATAACTTAAGTCTTTTGTATGTTTTTTTATAAGCATTGTCATAACTTGTCAAAAAAGTGCAAATGTAAAATAAACTTGGCTTTGAATATACTGGGAGGGGTAAAAGCTTGACCAGCATGTTACGCAATTAAGATGTTTTGGAGAAAGCTATTGCAAATAGTCATTAATTACTCTCAAGTGATATAAATGTATGTGGTACTCCCTTCAAATGTGGTGGCTTAATTAAAACTGTTTTAACTGATGGTTGTAGAAGCTTGGTGGTGTTTGTGGTTCACAGATTCATTTCATAAACTCAAGCAAATAGCCATCCTTTACTTCTCTTAACATGAATATCAGTATATGTGAAGTGTCGGGTTAATAAAAGGAAGTTAAAGACCTCATGTCCAGGAGGCAACAACTTTATTTTCCAGTCAAATAAGCTTGAGTAGACACTGCAAAACAAGTCTGTGCACTTTCATCGGAAGTGCCAGGCGTGGAAAACTCTTTGCTAAGCCAAAACCTCTTAAATGCATCACAACTTGAGGAGGAACCCAAGACAATTTAAGTACGTAACAGTCTACAGGAGGTCTCAGATATGGGAAGCCTGATTGTTTTTTTTTTTATCAAAACTGTGCCAAGTACCCTTCATATATTGATCAAGAACTTTAAAAATGGAGAAAAAGATGGAGTACTTGCCTGCTATTTTCAGTGGAAGACTGCACTTCTGTGATTAAATCCTCATTTCTAACCTCAAATTATGCATGGCCCTTATGTAGCCCTGTGCTAGTGGCATTCTTTATCCTGAGCAGCCCTTTCTCCCTCTTCTCCCTCTGTGTTTTTACAGAGAACAAATCTCCTGTTGACCAGTGCTGCCTTAAACCAGCCTGCAGCTTCTGATTTCTGGAAGGACAGGTTCACCATTCTCCTGTGTGGTTTTGGGTTTTTTTTTTTTTTAATTATTTCCCTAGCTGTCCTCTTCCTTAAATTTCTTAGTTTTGAAACACACTTATCACCCTGGATTGTGGCAGCTTGCTTTTTTTGTTTGTTTTTGTCTGTTTGTTTGTTTGTCACTCCTGCTCCTTTAACTGCTCTTAATTTTAGATATGCATTTAGGGAAAACATTTTTGTTCATTTTAGATTTTCCTAAATGCTCTGAAGTTACTTGGAGGGTTTGTATAATGCCCATTTTTTACATGAAGAACATTTGTACTCTTGTTTACCTACCAGCCTGTATTCAGCTGCAGCCTAAATGTGTGCTCACTGAAATCCCCTGAACAACTCTCGTGACCTTCAGGCTGCAGAATAGCTCCTAACCCAACTTTGGAGAAGAGAGAGCCGTTCCGGAGAATTTGAGCACACTTGGCTCTTATTTCAGGGGGAATTATGAGCAATCAAAAATGTGTATGACTGGGTGCTAGGGAAGGCTAATTGACCCAAAGGGGGTGATTAATGAATGAATTTCACGGATCTGTCAAACAGCCGCCACACCCCACTGAGATTTTGTTTTTTCAGTTGACATAACGTGACTAATTTTTTAGACAATTCCTTGACAAGGTAGAATTCTTAAGAAGTATTCACCTGACCTTTACATCCTGCATCTAAGGACTTTTGGACCTAGAATACATACATAAATCAAGACAGTGTACTAACAGATCATTCAAGATAATTTTTTTTGGAGGGAGGGTTATTACGGTGATAAGCACTATAGAAACAAAAACACCCACATATTAAAAGGAAAGGTTACACACAAAAAAAGAGTTGCTGAGATCATTGAGCCCTTATGCATTCGTGATGAACCAAGTACGTACATCAATGGAAACCAAAATGCTTTAGGAGATGTACAATGGCTAAGAGCACTGAGGTACTAGTCCCACAGCACAGAGCAGTGGAGGTTACTGTCAACACAGAGCAGCACCCTGAAAAAAACAGGGTTTTCCAGGCTGGTAGGTGAAGTTGCACTGATCTTAAAATGAATTTGAGAGCTGATACTCACAACCAGAATAAAGTATAATCAAATCTGGGAGGTATATTTGCTAAAAATAGGGATGCTGAGAGTCTGAATGTGATCCTGTACCGGGTGTCTGTACAGGAGCAGTGAAATCCATGTGAGTTTGGAGCACCTGGGATACATCAGCATTACTGCATGGTTGCAGCAGTTCATATGTGTAGAACCCATTGATGAAGAATGCATCGATTTTGCTGAACATATGCAGCGTATTTATCAGATCAGTCCGATGCATCCACTGCGCAGGTCTGCGCTGGTGCAGCAAGCAGCCTTTTTTCTGGGGTTTCCTGGCGTCCAAGGGTGTGGGCCAAGCTGCTCCAGCTATGGAGCTTGACATCCAGAAATTCCAGGCAAAAATACAATGCTCTCAAATTTTGCCTCTATAAAATTATATTTAAATTACTTGGGAGTTGTCAGAATAATCCAAATATTTTTTATTGTGATTTTTGGATACCTAAATTTAATAAAGCTTTATTTGTAATAAAGACAGGTAGTAGAAAACGTGCAGGCATATCTAGAGCTCTATACTATGAATATTATAACTACAAATAATATAAATAAACAATAATGTATGATTTAGCAATATGCATTGTATAATATAAATAATAAATAGAAATGTTTCCATGAATTATATTCCTCATGGGTTCATCTCTGCAGGACTGGATAATACTTACTAGAAGAATTGGTATGACTGTTGCTTTTTATTTATTTATGGGATTGTGGGCAACACATACTATTTTCCACAGAGATCTTTAAGAATACAGAATATTTTATAAGTGTTTAAAATTGCTGAAGCATCAAGGGGAGACATCGGAAATCAGTATTCACTAAGCCTGAGAGGGTCCAGAAAGGTTCAGAGTGAGCACTCACATGAAACTGTGAGCCCAAAAGCCACCTAACTCTTGTCCTCCACTGTGCTGCCCTGGGAAATGATCATGGATTACAGTATGGTAGTTGACTGTCATGGTCTTGAATGCACACAGAGATACATAATTGGGCAGGAGCTGACATGAGGCCATTATAATCTCTTTTCAGTAACCAGCCTATTTCTGAGCTCTCTTTGTGTTAGCAATCCCATAGGACAAGAAATAAGCAGAATTATTATGAAAAAATAATTTGGGCAAATAGTCATACTTGAAAATTTATTTCTGTCCTAATTTGATAGAAAGACAAAACAAACCCGAGGAAAATCATAACTGGCATTTTGTATCAAGACAATAGGAAACATTGGAAATGTTGATAGGAGACCACCATTTTAATTTCAGGCAGTTTCACAGATCAATTCCTTATCAAACATTTAAAACTGAAGAGGTCATTTCCATAGAACATTTTGGTTTCATTGAAACTCTGCTTCTGGAGAAACTCAAAATGAAAATTCATGGCCGAAACTCTTAAAGATATGTTTGCTATGCATGTCTTATCTGTAAATCTCAAAGTGCTTAAGGA